TGCCCTCCTTGCTTTGCGGCCTGCTGTAAATCTACCCTCCCCCCCCCAATTTCTTCCCTTTTTATAAATGCAGGGGGCCCTTGGCATCTGCTGGGGTTTGGTTACAGGAACCCCTCCCTCAACATCTGTGGATGCCCAAGTCCCATTAAATACAATGGCATTGTAAAATGGTGTCCCTTATATCCATATCAAGGTTCGCTTTCTGAAATTTTTATATATTTTTTTTTACATGGGGGGAGGGGTATATTTTCCAGCCATGGATAGTGGAATCTATGGATAAAAATATATGGAAATGGGAGGACCAACTGGAATTCTTTATTATATATATATCCCCTTCTGAGCTTGGGCTGTCTCTTGAAAGAGAAGGTCTCTTATTTTATGCCAGAATTCTGGGGTTCGGGAAGGAAGCCTCAAGTCCTCCACAGCCAGCGCTGTGACCCAGCATCCTCTGAAATTCCCTGGAGGGATTTCTCCCTCACCCCATGGAAAAGACAGGCTCCCCAGTTTCTTCCCTCTATTTCGTTCCATCTCCATTGGTACTCTCAGCATGTTAAGACAGATCCATGGTCACTGCTAGGATTCTCCTGAGGAATGCTCAGCTAGCTATGCCAACTCTGCTTGGTGTACTACTCCTTAATTCAAAGACCTGCTGCTTTGGTCTGGAAAATGGATCTGGTGGCACCTCTGAGACGAGGGCCTTTGCAGACTGCCAGAAATAGTGCAAATTGAGTCCACTTTAAGGGTTAGGGTTAGTGCTAGGGAATCATAGAATTTTTTTTTCTGAGACATTGAGCCTTCTCTGCCAGAGAACTCTGATGCCACAATAAAATACAGTTCCCATGATTCCCTAACCCTAACCCTTAAAGTGGGCTCAATTTGCACTATTTCTGGCAGTCTGCAAAGGCTCTATGCAAAAAGAACAAAGCTGATAGCATGAGCTTTCCTAGACTTGGGCCTACCTTTTTAGATGGATGTTTTGGAATGGTCTGACCAACAGGGTTAGCTTTAAAAAGTAGACAACTGAGTCAATCTATCCTGTGATAATGGAAAGAAGCATACTGATCACATGAGAGGGAGACCAATCTTTAATTTACAGCAATAATTTGAGGTGCACCAAATAGTTGAGTTCTTGACATCCAAGAGCCAATTGTGTTAGCCAGTTTCAGAACAACAACAAAATGCATACACACAAGAAGAGGGGTGAACAGTCTTGTGACACTTTGAAGATTAACCACTTCTTTTCACTTTATATCTATAGACAGATAAATAGATAGACAGACAGATAGATAGATAGATAGATAGATAGATAGATAGGGGAAGAACAATACTCCACCTCTTCAGATCTATACAGTGCAACTTGGGTGCACAAACATTGATACAAGTGTGTATGAAATGTAACAGATTCTACTATGTGTGTGTGTCCTTTTTATCCAGTGTAGATCCTGCCTTTCCTTTAATATGTTCAGGTTGCCTATGTGGGCTTATCCTATTTTCATACCATACTTCTGAGGAAGGTTAATGAAAGATTTGCTCAAGGTCACTCACAGATGACAATTTGAAGAAAACTGAAGAGAGACTTGGATTCCAGTTTTTTTTAATCCAAGCCTACATTAATCTTGGATGGGACAACCAGAACATGCTTAATAGTTTACAAGACTGCTAAGAGTCCAAAGAAAGGCAGTATTTCAAAGCATTCAAAAAGATAAAGCAAAGCAGTGGTCAAGTAATTTTCGAGACCATTTTAGAAAGCAGCTTTACAGACAGGAGCACAGCTGCTACTTTCTTGTTTACAGCTCACACTAATTGTACCATATAGAAGCCTAAAATCCAGGGAAATAGAAATGTCTGAAATGTCAAGTGTGGTTTAGAAGAATGTATGTTTCTCATGGGGATAATCTGATAACAGCTGAAGTCCATAAGGGCTAAAGAGTTGTTTATGCATGATTTTTGGATCACTGACAGTTTTCAAAGGCTAAGGGTGGAATCCTATGAATAACTTGAAGACATCCTGAGTTCATAGAGGCTTGCTTCTATTGTGTGTATAGTAAGAATGGGAATTCTGGGATTTCCCCAACGATGTTGGACTACAACCCCCAGCAGTCCTAGGCTACACAACCAGTGGTGAGGAATATTAGGAGCTGCAGCCCAGTAACATCTGGAAGGCCATATGATTCTCAGCCCTGGTGTATAGCATTGCAGCCAAAAGCCAAAGCTTAAGCAAATCCGAGGATTTATTTCCTATACTGGCTGCTTACAAATGAGACTTTTGTTGCACAATTGCCCTGAATTTTAAAGGGGAGCCAGACTCTATTGTCTTCCATTTCTAAATCTTCCATCATTTTTTTAATTTTTCCATCACTTCTTCCATCAGTTTTCTTTCCTTGGGAAAAACTCTTTAAGGCGGGTGGGTGGGTGTGGGTGGGATAGAATACCACCTATCCTATGTTTTTAAATCAACAGTACTAGGAACATTCCAACTGGAAGTATTCTAAGCATCTCCAGATCTACAGTCTTAAATTGTTTTGTAAGTTGAAAATGTGTTGTGTATTTTATTGTAAACTATCATGGGCAGGGTGGAAATATTTATTGGCAAATGGACCCAAGAGAACAGGTAAAGTGTAATGTTTTGAAATAGATCGCTGTCCACGTGCAATTTCCTAGTCTGGTACTATCCAGATGCTTTGGACTATAATTCCAATACTCCCTAACCATTGGGCCTGGTGACCAGGGCCGATGGAAGTTAAGATTCAAAAATATCTGAATGGCATTATGTTAGGATAAATGCACCTATTTTACAAACCCAGAAAAACTCTATCTCTAGGACAAAGGCAGAAATTATGTAGCCCTCCAGATGCTAATGGACTATAAGTCCCAGCAGATCTTAACAGCATGACGAGACATACTTGGAGCTGGAGTCCAACAGCATATGGAGGACCATATGATTTCCACTTCATCACAGGCTTAGGTTAACATTTCCCTGTTAATAGAAATAAAATTTACAGTCCCCAGTTTAACTTAAAGAGTTTAGCAATGAGTAAGCTTCCTGTGTAAGAATCTAAAAACAGGATGGTATATGATTTCTGTCATCCATCTGATTTGGTGGTATTCTTTGGAAAAGATGCAGGAATGCTTGAACTGCTTCACAAATTACTTCTTGGTGCAACATGCAACTAGCTTGTCTTCAAACCTGTAGGTTCTGCAGAAACCTACATAGTATAACAACATTTGTAGTACAGTAATATTTGGATGACAGCCAGCATGGTATAGTGGTTTGAGCATCAGACTATGACTCTAGGAGACCAGAGTTCAAATCTCTGCTCAGCCATGGAAACCCACTGGGTGATTTTGGGCAAGTCACACTCTCTCAGCTTCAGAGGAAGGCAAGAGCATAAGCAAACCCACTCTGAACAAGCCAACAAAACCTGTGACAGGTTCATCTTAGTTACCATAAGTTAGAAATGTCTTAAAGGCATGAGAACTAGTGTGGTGTAGTGGTTTGAGCATTGGACTATAATTCTGGAGACCACAGTTTGAATCCTAGCTTGTCGATGTAAACCCACTGGGTGACCCTTGGTAAGTTACACTCAGCCTCCAGGGGATGGCAATTACAATTCCTCCTGAAGAAATTTGCCAATAAAGCCCAATAGTTTTGCCTTAAGTCAGAAAAGATGTGAAGGCAAAACAACAACAACAACATAGAGGTGAACTAAGAGGAAGTTTAATAACATCCAAACAATGATACCTAACTATCATTGTTTGGATGTTACTGGATTTGCTATATGGCCAACATGGCTACCCTTAGATGTTTTTAAGAGAAAGTTGTATTTTAAATTCATGTATGATCCTTAACAGTGTGTCTGCAATTACAAATGTAAGGAATAATTGAAATAACCAGTTTGTGCACTTTCTTGCTTTCTAATTTTAATGGTAAGAGATTTGCATTTGTCAATATAATCACAATTCTCAAGTCTTGGATGGGAACACCTGGTTCTCAGATGTTGATGAAATTTTTTTAAATCATTGTTTGCTGGACTGGCTGTCAGGGCAGTGGATAAGCACTGGAATCCATCAATATCTCAGAGGGCTGCAAGCTCTTTGGCCCTGCCTCAAGGCCTTTAAGAATATTTTACCTATGAGACTTGAAAACCTGGAGTTAGAAAGGGCCTGAACAGACTGCCAGAAATAATCCAGCTTGAGACCACTTTAACTGTCCTGGCTCAGTGCTAGGGAATCATGGGAATTGTAGTTTTTTTCTGAGACATTTAAGCCTTTTCTGTCAGAAAGCTCTGGTGCCACAATGAACTACACTTCCCATGATTCTCTAGCACTGAGCCAGGGCAGTTAAAGTGGTCTCAAACTGGATTATTTCTGGCAGTCTGTTCAGGCCCTTGGCTATTAAATTTTATTTACCTGAAGGAATTAAATTCTAAGATGTATTTTAGTTTTTAAAGGTTTAGGCTCAAATCTACTTAAAACAATGGCTGTAAATTTACAGGGGTTTGTTGGATCTACTCTTAGAACATTATATATCATGATATTAAGGCACATAGCAAAGTATAATTTAATTTAGCTGTATAGGATAACATGTTTCAACAGATTATCAGTACTTGAAAATGGTTGACAGTAAGTATCTGAAAAGCAGCTTCTTTTCCAGAAAGGTCACTTTGTATATTACTCTTTCTCAATAGAAAAAGATTAACTGTTATTTTGGAATGCTTTGAGTGCATTTTGTCTGACTATAGAGTGGGGAAAGAGATACAGTAGCGCCCAAACCTTATACTTCAAGCAGAATAGTCTCTCATGTTCAGACAATATAATATACACACATAGTTTTTTCAACAGAAGATTAATCACAATACTGGAAAAACTAACATGCTAACTTGTTCACTTGTTCCACTGTAATTGTCCTGATAGCTCAAATCACTTGCAACAGAAGGGCTTTAGTTAATAAAAGGCACATCTATTTCTCTTACAAATGCTAATTGTATAATAACTATTTTAGCTCCATATTCAGCTATCTACGAGGACAACAACTCTAGGAAAACATCATTTTGGAGCAATGAATGTCAGCAAACAAAGTGCCTAGCTAACATGTTTTGGGAAAGAGGAAAGTCCAAAAGAAACACAAACAATAAAGCTGAGAATCTACAGTCCTGCACAAATGATTCAGTCACAGTTGTGAGGTATGGGAGGTCAGAGCTAATTACAATGCAAGCTCAAAACAAACCATCCTGAATACATGTGTATAGTGCCTTTTTGAATCTGATACTCATGAAGAAGTCAGTCTAGGAGCCACAGTCCTCTCTTATTTCTGCTAACTAATTGAGACAGATTTGCTTTGTTGAAAGATCTTTACAAAAGTACGCAATGGACCAATTCTAACAGCATCCTATTTTCAGTCGTTAAAAACAATTCATTTAAGATAAGGTTATTTTTTTCTGACGTCTGCAAAGTTAAGATCTCTATGTGCATATTAGTTTGATTTCTTTAAAAATAGGAAGAAACAGATAAGTTTATCAGGAGAGAAAATAACATTCTCTAAGGCCAGTCTCTCTCTCTCTGTGTCTATCTATTTATGTACCTTCAAGTTGCCTGTCAACATATGGCAACCTAGAAAGGTATAAAATCAAATGGCGTGCATGTGACAAAGTTTCAAATAAAACATTTTGCAAATGTGAACACACTTTGGAGCCAGCCCTGGATAGGACAGGTGTCTACTCATTATTAGTAAAAGTAAACCCTGTACCATTATCTCACAGAAATGTACAAAGTGATTGATAGCAAGCTAAGGGCCCAATAATTAGTCTCATTCTGTTTGTTCCTAGACCTCATTGCTTTTAACATTCACTGCACATTGTTAACAAAGAATAGAGGGAATATATGCCACTACTGTTAATGTGTCACCCACCACAGAGCAAAATACTGGGCCGGACTACTGAGAGTACCTTTTAGAAAGCATAAAATGTTTACAACTCATTCATAGCGAATGGTCCTTAAGGGAGCCAGAGTGACCCCTGCTGTACAATGGTTATAAGCAAGAAGCTATTACAAAAGTATTAGTGAATCAGGAACATTTTCGAGCACTTGGGTGTCTTGTAAACATACTGACAGTTTCAATAAATGCGATATAATATATAATATCTACCACTAGCTGTGGTGCTCTTCAATAATCTATGAAGGGATTTTATTATTTCTTTCAAACATTCACCTGATCTGGTTTTTTGAGAAAGAAGAATCCACAACATTAAAGGACTCACTCTGCTTTACTTACTCTGCTGCAACTACCTGTTTTTTGGTTGGTTTTGTTTTTGAAAGCTACAGTAGTTGTAGCACACAATTCCTTTACAACAGAGGTGGGCAGGCTTCACATGTGTGGGATATGTGTTGGTTTTTATTCCAGCACTGAAGTCCACCAACCAAACCCAAGTTCAACAAGACAGGACAGAAACAGGCACAAACAAAGCAATGAGTTTTGGGATGGAGTGCCTTTATCTGCTACAATCTTCCCCATCTGAGCACTCTCTCTCTCATTAACTTCCAGTTAGAATCTCATAGGCAATACATCAGAATATTCAAAACATGCTTCTGAAAATGCAAACCTACATCTGAGTAGCTAAAAATCTAGAATTCTCATTCAAAATGCTAAAACTGGACAGCAGAACTGTATTTAGACCTGGTTAAAGGCAGCCAGGTAATGCATATCTTTACAAGATAAGGAAAATTGAAACTAAAAGATATGGTGATTATATTTTCATGAAACTGGTCTGTAAATGTTGATCTTTTTAAAGAAATGAAATTTGATTTGTTACTATATTTTGATTACAGTAAGCATCTCCCCTTTTAAAGAAATAACCTATTTAGCAACAGGCTCTAAATACTAGAGCACAGATTTAACATTGCAAACTGAAACCATGATATTTTACCATACAAGTTGCATTAAAGGCTTACTTTTCTCTATATACAAAATATGTTATTGTGTGCCTTCAAGTCATTTCCAACTTATGATGACCCTAAGGTGAACCTATAATGGGATTTTCTTGGTAAGATTTGTTTAGAGGTTTGCCACTGACTTCCCCTGAGGTTGAGAGCATATGACTTGTCCAAGGTCACCTAGTGGGTTTCATGGCTAAGCAGTGAATTGAACCCTGATCTCCAGAGTCACAGTCCAACATTCAAACCACGACACCGCACTGGCTCTATATACAAAATTAACTAGTGAGGAAATGACATCTGACATTTAAGGTCCATTATAAACCACACATACATATATTTATGTTGGTTTCATACCAGACCTACAGACTAGCCTTCCATATGATCAAAAGGGCACAGTACTGCATCTCACCAGGACACCCACAAATCCCACTCACCCCCAATTCAGTACATCTGTTTAATGCCTTGCAAACCTCAATACTGGAATATGTTTGTTTCACATATTTGGCCTATGCATGACTGATTAAGAAAAAGACTGCTTAGCTTTGATTTTTATGGAAAAAAACATAGAATCATAGAGTTGGAAGGGGCCTCATGGGCCATCATGTCCAAGCAGGATTTCCAGCTAAAGCATCCCCAGCATTGTGCTGCCCATAAGACTTTCTAGGTATTTAGGTTGGATTAACTTTCCTTAGCAACATGGGAGATGCAATACTGCTGCTCCTACCCATAACAGCAGGTGGTGCAGAAAGTCCTGGATCATACAAGGACAGCCCATGTTGAAACCCCCCTCACTGCCAACATTAACAATTTTTAAGGATAAACATTGATTGGTGAGAAAATGTCATATGAGCCCCTGGAATGCTGTCCAGGAGCAAGGAGATGTGTTGGTGTTCCTTTTTCCCGAGTTCCAGAGATCAAGCTTATAGAGATCCAAACAGAAAAATAACATTTTACAATCTTCTCTTGAAAATGTGTAGAGCAAAAGGGACCACACCGTATATGAGACACTTACAAAGTTTCCATTTAGTTACAAACCAATTTCTCCTACTTGTTACAAAAACCACAGCATGCATGTTTATTTACAATCTGTGGAACTTAAACTAACTTTGTCTTTTGTTTTTCAGTCCACTATGCATACAGCAGAAAATGCTTAGTTTCATTTTCCTATATAAATCTACTCTCTTGCTCTTCCCCTCATCATTATCAATAAATAAATTTTAAAAATCAATCCATGCTCCCTGACTTCTTTCACTGTCTCTCCAGTGACATGAAGGGAACCGACAGGCTCAGCCCAGAGAGTGCCAGCAGGATAATGAGTGTAACTGTGTTCTTGTATCCTCTGTCGGCTACAAAGAAACAGCAGCAGGACAAACCAAGAGACTTTGACTGACA